CTTTGTTTAGGTTCCTAAAAATAATGATCTTTCATTAAGATAAAAGTTCTAATTGTTTTATAGACTAGAAAAATTGCCATGGTTTTGTAAAGTAGTTTTAACCCAGATCAAATTGTCTTCCATTTTCTTTCTATTCTTCTTATCTATGCACACTGTAGATGTTTTCAAACAACCATAGACCTGCTTCTTTCTTTGGGGCACGCCAGGTTTAACAGTTGGCTCCTACGTAGGTGAGCATATCTGCAGGCAGACAGAGTTGGGTGCAAGTAGAGCTGACAGCCTCCCTAGCTTACATGCCAACACTTTGCAAACCTAAAGGTGCAAGTTGAAATCTCATAGAGAATCTCATATAATTTGAATGCAGAGGTAATTTCTCTGTTTTATGAATAGAATTTTGTCATTTTCATAGCCATTAGTAACAATTCTTGGTTTCCAAACTGCACAAGATGGTTTGGCAGATTACAACTGAGTTGGAAGTGGTTCAAGATGAGTTTGAGGCAGGGTGTTAAAATATTGTACAATAGGAGAAGACACACCCTGTATTCATCTATGCAGCTAAACAAAAATGCAAACGTCTGTTTGGATCTAGAATGCTAAGGAGAAGTGTGTGCTGCTGTAGACAAGCCAGAAGATGTTTTGTTGGCAAGGTTTCCACCAAGTAGAGGAACATTGGGTTCTCAAGTACTGAAGGATGTTTATCTGTCCTGTCCTTTTATACTTAGTATCGTGGGCTTGGAAAAGATGGATTAAGACCATAGTTCAGTCCTCATATTTCAGTTCTTGCAAAAAGATCTGAGAATTATAAGATGTCACTTATTTATACACAGATTAAAACTAGGACTGGTATGAGAGCTAAAAGTTCATTCCTATGTATGTCTAGGGCTACACTATAATAAACTCTAAAGCTTCATTTACCGTAATTATTCTAAATATATCATGTTGCCTGCCCCATGCCACAGTTCCTAGAGCTACTAGTATATGCAGCAGAATTTTGTAAGATGGCGGCTCCTGACAATCTTTGGTTGTGGAGCAGACTACGCATCCCCACCCAAATGAACGTCTCATGATCCCAGTGCACAGTGATTCCCAAACCTGTTGATTTGCATTTATTGGAGATAAATGGTTGCGGTGGGGGATGAAGGAAGGAACCGAAATAGGGAAAGCTTTCTGAGAGTAGAGGGAGATGAAGAGAGGGTAGGAAGAACTGTCAACTGTGTCAACTACAATATAGATTAAAGAAAGCCTCAAGTGGGCTGATACAGGATTCCTTGAGCAAAGCTGACTGTTAGAGATGGCACTAAGAGTCGGGATGCAGGCAGCAGTCATAGTGGAGAACCCAACTAGGGAGCCTGCACTTTTGAAGTGGTGTATGTCACTCCTTGGGGACAGAAATTGGCATTGAATAGTGACATCCAAAACCAAGTTTTAGAGACATCTGGGGTAGTTTGTATTGATAAATTTAAGTGCTTTTTATTTGACACAAGGGTATTGGGGAATATTAGTTAAAGATGTGTTGTATTTGTTTATGCGGTGGAATATTTGTTTAATGATGCAAAGATGTATTGCATTTGTTTAACTCTGAAGCTGTGTTACTTTGCCTGTCTAAAACACCTGATTTGTCTATTAAAGAGCTGAATGACCAATGGCAAGGCAGGAGAAAGTATAGGTGGGGTTGGCATGCAAATAGAATAAATAGAAGGAGAAAAAAGAAGAGGGAGGAGAGAAAGGAGGAGAGGAGGACTCCAGGGGCCTCCCACCCACCCAGCTACACAGCAAGTCATGGAGTAAGAAGTAAAAAGGAAAAGCCCAGAGGCAAATTGTAGACAGGACAATTAAAGTTTAAGAAAAACTGGCTAGAAGAAAGCCAAGCTAAGGCCAGGCGTCTGTAACAAAGAATAAACATCTGTGTAATTATTTGGGAGCGTGGTGGTGGGCTCCCAAAGAGCACAGTGTAAGAGTAATGAAAACAACAACACACAGGAAATTAGTTTAACTAGCATATATTTATTCACGTTGTAATTTTTAACCTCCAGTATGTGTTAATGGGTGATTCTCATGTGAAAAGTGTATGTCTCCAGCTAGTATAGCAAATATATTGCCCCAGACGGCAGCGCTGCACCCAAGCCTGATCTCGACGTTAATACTCAGGCCAATCTTGTGCAAGGATTCTCTGATTTCAAATGTCACTTCCTTTAGGTTGCTTCTCTTGATTCAGCCAACCCGCCGGGGTACATCAGCACACTTCAGAGATGCCTCTTTTGTAATAATTATCAACTCTCATTGGTGTTTATTTAGTACCTTTCCCTTTTCATCCGAGTATCGATTTCTCAGTGCAATTTCCACTCTTTTTGTTTTTCACTTGTGCTTTGACCAACCTCAATAAGAAAATATTTTTTTCTCCTGTAAAAATATAAAATATAGTATCGTTTGGACTATTTGATTGAAACTAAGCAGACCAACAGACTGGATGGGAATATGTGTGGAATCTTCTCAGAAGTCAGTTTCAGAAAACAACAATAACATTAAAAAAACCCTCTAAGATTTTGAGCTGCCAGAGCAGAAGAATCATATCTTTTATGCTAGTGTGTGACAGTTTACGAATCCTAAAATGTCTTTAACACATGGCATTCTTCTTCGAATAGAAGATTCAGTTGAATGACAGTCTCACTTAGTGAGGTGGTTTGTACTTTACATTTTGCTGACAGGTGCTCATCACAGCCCTCAAATGGAGGCATTAATTCACTTGTCATAGTTAATAAGTCAATCTCTCTCTCTCTCTCTCTCTCTCTCTCTCTCTCTCTGTTCTCTGCCCCTGATGTGGTATGTTCTTCTGTATATGTGTTGCTTTTATTTGTTAATGAATGAAGCTGCTTTGGCCTATGGCAGGGCATAATATAGCCAGGCTGGAAGGGATATATATTGAGAGAGAGAGAGAGTAGGCGGAGTCAAAGAGATGCTGTGTAGCTACCAAAGGAGACAGATGCCCCGGAACCATACTGGTAGGCCATAGCCTTGTGACAATACAAAATGATAGAAATGGGTTAATTTAAGATCTAAGAGTTGGTCAGGAATGCACCTAAGCTGTTGGCCAAGCAGTGTTGGAGTTAATCTAGTTTCTGTGTGATTATTCGGGTCTGAGCAGTTGGGAAATGAATGAACAGTCTTTGTTTATATGATCCTTTCTTCTGAAGGCGGCAGTCTAGCAACAGAGATGATTCAAGGCTGAATTCTTCTCAAGAAAAGCCCAATTGGAATGTGGCAAAACTTTGCTTTCACTTCACACTTGAAATCCCTTTTGTTCTTAGAAGAACAAGAGCACCTGGTAGATTCTAAATCCCTGTCAGCAAATATTAATAGCTGCTATATATATCAGAAAATATATTAATAGCAAATATTAATGGCACTGATGACTATTTTGTACAAAAAAGTTTTAAAATAGATAAACCAAGGATAATAAAGTAATTGTAAAACAATTCCTTCCTTATTTTGTAAATGACTTTGCCACTCCAGCTAGCCAGTGTGCCCTGGGGTGACTGTCCCTGCTTCCTGAGCACTGAGGTTGCAGGTGGGCCACCATGCCTGAGCTTCCATGGTCCTCCTCGTGCTTTTGTAGTGGCACGTCCTCCACTCTTCTATCTCCACTACTTGCATTTTAATTTGCCTTGTATGATGGATAGAGCTGTGCTCTTTTAGAGTCGTTAAGAAATCAGTAGTTATTAGAGTTGTTTATTAGAAACTCTCTTTGAAGTCTTTCTCTTGGGAGTTTAATTTTCAATTATAGCAGAAGGTTCATCTGTGTTGTTGAAATTTCACTTCCTTATGGAAGTAAAGTTGCCACTTTCAAAAAAAAATGATCTTCTCTGTGTATTCACAAAGACAAGGTGAAAGTCAGAGTCACATCTACTGTCACCTGCTTGTTAGACCTCCTCACTAAATATGGGCAACTAACCTTTAAAATAATGACAACATGAAAAGTCAGATACATCAGACTCTATCAGCAAATATTTACCAGTAACGCTTTGATATCAAAGACTGGAGATCTTAGAGAATCTCATGGGACTTGGTGTGCTCTACCATTTATTGATCCTTGGTGCCATAGGTGCCTTGTCAAAGGAGTGTTACCTTTATGAGGAGTAAGGAGGCCCAAGAGGAGAGATTCAGCTAAAAGCTCAACAAACAATTAATGTCTCTGCTTTTCCCTAAAGGATTTCTATAGCCAATGTAGACACCGTCATTCCATCAGTCTCAGCAAACCAAGTGCATGTAGGTGGAAGTTAAAGTTCAAATGAAACAAATTACCAGCATTATTTGTTTCCTGAATGTGAATACTTATGGCTGCTTAAGGGCCGTTTCAGATAAATGTTTGGAAGGGCATCGCTCTTGCTGAAGAATACTCATTGTTCATCTTTCTGCTTTTTTCTGCATCTCTGAGGGCCACTGTTAATGGGAGAAGGAGAGTGTAGTGGTTGATGCTATGATGCTATGGCTAGTACCAACATAACAACATAAAAACATATGACTATAAACAGCAAAGGAGTGTATTGTTGAGTAGAATTAAATATCTTTATTTTTCTGAATAACCAGAGATGATAAAGTATAGGTTACTATACCTTACCAAAACACTCGGAATTGTTCTGTGAAATTTCTCTAGAGTCAAGATCGTATATTTTCACCAATGTTTACTTTAGTCCAGTTTAATGTGTGCTTTTGAAAACTTATCAATTATTTTGTGCTTTATTTAGTGTTGCAGAAATAGATGCTGGTGGTATCAACTTCAGTTAACATCAAAGAGCTGGTGAGAGCCTGGCCTATGAGGAGTTATGTTAAATTATGAAATAGTTTTGTTCTTACATTTCTTAAATTGAGGGTAGGAGTGTTAAGGGTATGCCACAGTCCAAGTGTGCAATGTGTAAAGGGCAGAGGACAATATGGAGTCAGCCCTTTCCTTCTACCTTAAGGTTCTAGAGACTGAATTTGGGTCCTCAATTTGGCAGTAAGTTCCTTTATACACTGAGCCTTCTTGTTGTCCCCGTGGAGTATTTTTAAATAGTTTGCTATTTTATTGAATCTAAAGTCAGTGAATACTCAACAATACCTTGAACCGAGAAGGGCTGTACTTCCATCAGAGTTTTCTTTTTGTAGGACTTAAAAATACTTTATTGTTTTCTGTAAGCATGCAAAATAATGGATTCCTTTCTGATGTTCTCATGCCTGCACAGTGTTCTACTCCTCCCCACCCACACCACCTTTCCTTGGCTCCCTGCTCAACACTTCTCCCCTTTCATACCCCCAAGCATTCCCCTATAATATTTTAAAATCTAGATTCCACATAGAAAATATAACAAAACATTCGCCTTTCCATTCTTTTTTCCTCTTCCATTAGTCTGTTCTCCTTATATACAGTCCTCCTTATACTTTCATATCGAAAAATCTAGGAAAATTTTGATTAAATCTTAAATCGAGATTCTCGTGTGAGGAAAAGCATGCAATATTTACCTTGTGGGTCTGGCTTGTTTCATTTAGCAAGATTAAAAACACTGCCTTTTTTATTGTTGTTGTTGTTGTTGTTTCCTTTCAGAGATCAGAGAAGGAGACGATGACAGGCAGGTGGTTGCAGAGATCATGGCAAGAAGTTTTATTCCATCTTTGATAACAACTGTTTCTTGGGAAGGCTTTCGCTTTGCTGGTCATGAAATTCGGATCACTGAAGCCAAAGATTGTTATGGTGCTGTTGTCTGGCCATCGGTATAATTCCTTAAAAGTTTGCTGCATGCACCCGATTGCTTTCCAGTTTTATTCATTATTTTATTTTACTTGGTAGAAAGAACCAGGTTGCAAGATTCTATTTTGTGCTCTCACACAACACCAAAGTGTAGACATTGTGTAATGGGAAATGGCTTCCACAGTTAAATTTGTTTCTGACTTTCTTGACATTTGTAGGCTAAATAAAGATGTGGATGTCTTTAGCTTTTATGCTATGAGAGATGAAAGGAGTAAATGTTTTCATTTCTTATTTATTGCCTCTGTTTTGAGTAAAGCAAGATTGAAGGATGTCTATTTGAGACTCACAGGGAGGATACTCTCAAAGGCTTCTTTACCAGTCATCTCATTAACGGCAGCCGACCACTACTACTCCCCTCCCCAGCTTCACACATTAATTGGAATAATCTGGTGCTGTTAGAAGTTAAAAGAAAGTTGGGCGATAGCGGTGCAGGCCTTTAATCCCAGCACTCGGGAGGCAGAGGCATGTGGATCTCTGTGAGTTTGAGGCTAGCTTGGTCTACAGAGAGAGTTCCAGGATAGCTAGGGCTGGTGCCCAGAGAAACTTGTCTAGAAAAAAAAGAAAGAAAAAGAAAAAGAAGTTCGAAGAAGGTCAAATAAACAATCACACTCTGTTTTCACTCATTTCCATTTTTCTTTTCAACAAGGGCTTTTTCTAGCTGGTCAAAATGTTGAACTTATCAGAGGATGAAAATTTTCTGGAATGGTGTATGTTAACATCCACAAATTTACTCATACCCAGATGTACACATGAGCAGATCATAATATCTGTGGCATATTTACCTAATAGAGTTTAATTTTACTAAAACTACTTCAAAATCCTTTCCTCTCAATTTCCATAGGCCCTAGTTCTCTGCTATTTCCTGGAAACACATACCAAGCAATATAACATGGTTGATAAAAATGTGATTGAAATTGGAGCTGGGACAGGGCTTGTCTCTATTGTGGCAAGTTTACTTGGTAAGTAGATATTTCTTTATTGAATGGAATAGGTCAGGAAACTAATGACCAAATACTAGTTATTTTTTTGCTTTTCAGTGTGTTATGAGCTGCGTTTATGTGAGATTCCTCAATTGTATTTTTAAAGTTTTATTTATTTATTTTATGGATATGTGTGCTCTAGCTGCATGTATGACTTTATGCCAGAAAGGGCATCAGACACCACTATCGATGGTTGTGAACCACCATATGGTTGTTGGGAATTAAACTCAGATTTTCAGGAGGAGTAGCCAATGCTCTTAACTTCTGAGCCATTTTTCCAGCCCCTCCTTAATTGTTTGAAACAGTCTTCAGCAAGACAATCTACTACGTTAACATCTTTTTGCTGGTTTCTTTCCAGAATTTTCCTTGTAAGTAGTTTTAAATCTTTATGTGGAATGAAAGCTTACAAGTCTAGATAGGAGGTGAAATTTGTCATCCTGTTAGATTTCTTTCAGGGGTTTGGGAGCCCTATTCTTTTACGAACATGTACCTGTTAAAATAGGGACGTAGTATTAGAAATCACATGAAACTCACACCTCAGCTTTGATTTTTAGGGGTTTGTCCTTAGATTTGTTTTTTCATTTCCATTCTCATTTGGTCCTACATGAAATGCTCAGAATTTGTCATTTGGACTCTTAATTATCGCGTTTATTAGAGGGTTGGAGAAAAACAAAAATTCAAATCAACTTTTTTCAAGGTTGGAAGAATCAAGTCATTTCTTCATACTATGATACAGGCCCCTCCCTTCAGGTGTCTTACACATTTAAAGAGGTGGCAGTATATTTTTCTTTTTTCTGCACAGGATAAATCCTGTGCTTCAGCCAACTCTTGATGGAAGGATGGCTAGTAGAATGTTGTGAGAGTGAGGGCCGCTTGTTGGGTCCCGACTGCTTAGCCCCAAAGTAATCATACAGAAACTGTATTAATTAAATCACTGCTTGGTCTAAATGAAGAACAACAATGTTGAGCTACACAAAAGACCCAGGGGGTCAGCAAGATACAGAAATACCACAAGATTTTTTTTTTTTTAAAGAGGGGCAGAGAAGTGGATTAGCGTCTATTCTGAAAAGCACTTATGTGCTGCCCAGTCTTTTTTTTTTTTTTTTTTTTTTTTGGAAGGGGGTTAGCGGTTGTGAAGAATCTCAGTGCATGCTGGTTGAAACCTGACTGGTCTTATTCCAGGAGGCTCACTTTTCCTACCTTCCTTTCTTCACAGGTGCTCGAGTGACTGCTACAGACTTACCTGAATTACTTGGAAACCTGCAATACAATATTTCCAGAAACACCAAAATGAAATGCAAGCATTTGCCTCAGGTTAAAGAGCTGTCCTGGGGAGTGGCATTAGACAGGGACTTCCCCAGGTCTGCCGCGAGCTTCGACTACATCCTGGCGGCCGATGTCGTCTATGCCCATCCTTTCCTGGAGGAGCTTCTCGTGACCTTCGACCATCTCTGCAGAGAGAGCACCGTCATCCTCTGGGCCATGAGATTCAGGCTGGAGAAGGAAAATAGATTTGTAGATAGATTTAAGGAACTGTTTGACCTAGAGGAACTCTCTAGTTTCCCTAGCCTGAACATTAAGTTGTACAAAGCTATGAAGAAAAATCGCAGGAGTGCATAGTGTGTATGGTCTGTGAATTAGGGCATGGTTATGCCAAGGTAGTTTCTAGAAGATCATTGCTTTAAAGAAAACACACATGTGCACACACACCACTATAAGAATACAAGTTAAGTCTGAACTTGCCTTATTATAGGCAAGGAATTTTACACACACACAATAGGTGCATCTATAGGACTAAGACAATTTATTCCCAAGCCTGTCTGCTCAGCACTCTCATTACGTGGTAACAAACTTTCAGTAAAAGTGTCATCATTGCAAAATAGTGATTTTCAATAATGATGTCTCTAACTGAATGTTATAACTTTATTTCTTTTTGAAAATGTACCTTAAATTGGCCTTGAACTTGAGATCCTGCCTCAGTCTCCTGAGAGCTAGCATTCCAGGTATGTACCACCATACCCATCCATGATGTTAATCCTTTTAAATATAGGCTTAAATGATTATATTTTTAGACGTTAAGAAACCGACATAGTGCGATGTGCACGTAAATCTAAAAGGGCAGATATATGATACAAGGGTCAGTGCTAGATGTCTGTGGTTCCCACCAATGTCAGCTTAGGGGGGACTGTCATTTCCCTTGGCAGTTTGGACCTCTTAACATAGCCTTTGAATCAACCAAGCATGTGGAACATTTCCCTCTAACAGATAAAATAAATGAATGGAAAGAGCATAAGAATGCCCGAGATTACTGTTTGTTTTTATAAACTAAGTAAAATTTATTTTTTCACAGAAATGGAAATAATTATAAAAACTTTGGGTTGGAAGTACAGCAAAAGATTTAGGCTCCTAATCTCAAATAAGTAGTCATGGTTTAAACAGATATACATAGATATTTGTATCTAAGAGTTTTTCATGTGGGCCTTAGAGATTAGAATAAGGTTTAAAGTAAAGTCAGGTCAGGTGGTGGTGGCACATGCCTTTAATCCCAGCACTCATGAGACAGAGGCAGGCAGACATTTGTGGGTTCGAGGCCAGCCTGATCTACAAGTGTGAGTTTCAGGACAGGCTCCATATCTACAGAGAAATCCCTTAAAGTCAGTGTGGAAAGAGTAAAGAATTAGGCCTTTTTGTCATGTGGCTGTCTGGACTGTGTTGCTGGTAACACACTGCAGTATCCTCAGCTATGCGGGAGAATTGTCTGTATTCTGTCAATCATGTTTTAAATAAACGCTGATTGGCCAGGCAGGAGGTGTAGGTGGGAAAACCAGACAGGAAGTAGAAATGATACAAGGAAAGCAGGAGAATTCAGGGGAGGAGGAAGTTGATTCCTCCCACTCCTGCCCAGATCACCAAAGTAGCAGGATGTGAGCTGCCCCAGCTGAAAAAGGTACTGAGCCACATGGCTAACATAGATCAGAAAAATGGGTTAATCAAGATGTGAGAGTTAGCCAGTAAGAAGCCTGACCTAATGGGCCAATCAGCTTTATAACTTACAGAGATCTGTGTGTGATTTTTCTCTGGAACTAAACATCTGGGGGGCGGGGCAGAACAGAAACCCAAACAAGTAGCCACCCCTCATGTTACAGAATGGCGCCCACGTGGATAACTGAATCCACAGAAAGCCTGTAAACGCTTGGGAAAGACTAGAGTAAAGCATTTTGGTCTTTAGCCGTAGCAGAAAAAAACATAATTTATAGAGATCTCAGTGTGATTTTTCTCTGGGACTAAACAGCTGGTGGAACTGGGCAGGACAGAAAAACACAAACAAACCTTCCCTTCATGTTACACAGCTAGACTGTCATGTGCTTCTCCAGGATCAGCGCTTTCTCTTGGCTGGACACAGTCATGGTCAGACATCTCTACGATTATCTCCTGGGCCTGCACTGTAAGTTAGGATGCAGGTACACGGGTGCATGGGTTTTCTTAGGACCACATCTCAACAGTATTTTGTTTGTCCTTCCCATATTTGTTTAGTGTTCAGCCTACCCAGGGCAGTGATATCATTATTCTTACTTCACAGATAAGAACAGAGGCCCAGGTTACACAGCTGTAGAGTGAAGTGATAGAAACAGTCAGACCCAAATCTGTCTGAGCACAGAGTCTGTGCTGATAATTCCAGTACTGTCTTTATGCTTTGAAAAAAAGTAACTGTCAAACACTTTAAACAATCAAGGTTAGTTCTTCAAAAAGAATAGATACTCAAAGAATAGCAAATAGATATTAAAATGAAGCCTAACACTGTCCCTAGATTTTCTACCTGTGGGAGGAGACGTCACAAAAGGTACATACATCTGTGCACTTCTAGAAGGGTACCTGAGGCAGGAGGAACAGTCATGTAAGCCCTCCAGGCAGAGGTCTGCCTATCTACTTGAAGAAACTTCAAAGTGGAGTGGTAGCGAGGCAGACTGAGAGACTGGTGAGGTCTGAAGTTGGAGACAAAACAGGAAGTAGGTTATGGAGGTCCTGTGCAGTGGGCTAGGCTCTTCAGATACAGGCTCTGGGAGAGAACATGATGTGTAGTTATTAGTCAGGCTGTGCAGCCGTTGGATATAGTCTGTATAGTCAGTGGTTAAGCTGTGTGGTTGTGATGGAATTGAACCACTCAACACTAGACTTTGAATGGTCTATTTCAGGGTATCTCTGATGGGAGTAAGGCAATGGGGTCTCTATACGTGTATCCATCCTGGGAAGACTGTTTTAAGGATAGTGATGGTTGTGATCTATCTACCTGCAGGATTTATAGCTGCCTGCTGATAACGTCATTCTGAACCTATCTGAGCATTTTGTTACAAGTTTGAGTGCTTGCCACATCATTTCAGGCTCCTCAGAGAATAGAGAATTCTGTTTTTTTTTTTTTTCCTGCTGAAATAGAAAGCCCTTGGATCATACTAAGTAAAGGAGCAGAGTAATGTTATGGCCTGTATTCTTGTCCTGCTGTTCTGAGAATAGGATCTCAAAGTCAAGAGACCAGCCGGGAGCTGGGGCAGCCATCCAAGCAAAGGACAGCGAGAAATCCCCACGGGGGAGGTGAGATCAGCTGTTCTGACTGTACTCTGAAGCCAGAGGCAGCGGAGTGTTCTACCAGGTGGGATGCGGAATGTAAGCAAGAACTGAATGAAAGCCAGGGCTGATTCTGAAATATCCCTGGGAGCTGGGGGATATGGATGCAGTTTTCGGTTCAGAGAAGACTTATGATGCTCCTTTGCAGAGCAAGAGGGGATAAAGGGCTGGGCCCTGGGTTCACCCACATTAGGGGTCAGACAGAGAGACATTTTCAGAATTTTTTTGGAGGCTATGACCTCTTCCTCGGTTGTGGTCGTATAAGTGGACCCTGAAAAATATGAGTTTAATGGCACAGTCTTCTAATTTCTAATTAGAAATGAGAAGATATGGACTTGCTAATTTCTGAAAATTGTCTCAGAGAAAACTAAGAGTGTGACTGTCACAGGTCGGGCAGCAACGATCTTGCTGTAATAAGTTGGGAGAAAAATAACCCACCTTTATTCTTGTTAAAGTGTCTGAATATCGTTGGGAAGTAGTTTTGAAATAGGGAAGATAAATTACCCTATCAAAGACTGTTGGGACCAAGCCAACCCTTTAGTTCCTTAAAATTATTCTTTTAAAAACATATCCATACCCATTGTCTTGCTCTGTTTATACTACAACTTTCATTTGAGAATTCTAGCACCAGCCTCTCACATGGTGCCTCTGTCCTGCTTCACTCTTTGCCCTTCTACTTCACTCTGTGTTTGCCAGGTCATCCTGGTTTTGTGTTTGTTTTTGTTTTTGTTTTCTTGCAGATTCTCCATGTTTTTCTAGGTTTAGTTTTACAGTAATTCATTTTCAAAATATCTGATTTGTCGAGGTCTTTTCTTTCTCACAATTCTCCTTTTAAAAATGTGTAGGAATCCATTTGTCAACTTCAGTTTGAACAACTCACATTGTGACGTTTGAGACCATTGAGATTATGTTTTTTTTTATTAAGATATGTTTATTTATTATGTGTACAGTGTTCTGCCTGTATGTTTGCCTGCAGGCCAGAAGAGGGAACCAGATCTCATTACAGATTGCTGAGAGCCACCATATGGTTGCTGAAATTGAACTTAGGACCTCTGGAAGAACAGTCAGTGCTCTTAACTGCTGAGCTATCTCTCCAGTCCTGAGACTATGTTTTTAATGATATATTTTTTTTTAGTAACTCCCTGAATTTCTAACTGAATAGAGTGCAAGCTGTCAATATGTTAATTCAAATAATTGCAGAATAATTATTGCTTCAGAGATGACAAACTGACCTGCAAGTAATGTTCTTCAACAGCTTAAAATGACACATTGATAAACATGAAGGTAGATTCCAGAACAACTTTATTTTTTTTTCAAGTCTGGCTTCTTTTAATTAACATGATCTCCAGTTCCATCCATTTTCTTTTTCTTTTCTTTTTTTTTATTGAGCTCTACATTTTTCTCTGCTCCCCTCCCTGCCTCTCCCCTTCCCCATCCAATCCTCCCCCAAGGTCCCCATGCTCCCAATTTACTCAGGAGATCTTGTCGTTTTCTACTTCCCATGCAGATTAGATCTATGTAAGTCTCTCTTAGTGCCCTTATTGTTGTCTAAGTTCTCTGGGATTGTGAATTGTAGACTGGTTTTCTTTGCTTTATGTTTAAAAATCACCTACGAGTGAGTACATGTGATAATTGTCTTTCTGTATCTGCGTTACCTCACTCAAAATCATGTTTTCTAGCTCCATTCATTTTCCTGCAAAATTCAAGATGTCATTATTTTTTTCTGCAGTGTAGTACTCCATTGTGTAAATATATCACACTTTTCTTATCCATTCTTCAGTTGAGGGGCATTTAGGTTGTTTCCAGGTTCTGGCAATGACAAACAAAGCTGCTATGAAAATAGTTGAGCACATGTCCTTGTGGCACAATTGAGCATCCTTTGAATATATACCCAAAAGTGGTATTACTGGGTCTTGAGGAAAGTTGTTTCCTAATTTTCTGAGAAGTCGCCACACTGACATCCAAAGGGGCTGGACCAGCTTGCATTCCCACCAGCAATGCAGGAGTGTTCCCTTTACCCCACAACCTCTCCAGCATAAGTTGTCATCAGTGTTTTTGATCTTGGCCATTCTTACAGGTATAAGATGGAGTCTCAGAGTTGTTTTGATTTTTATTTCCCTGATGACTAAGGATGTTGAAGATTTTCTTAAGTGTATTTCGGCCATTTTAGATCCTCTGTTGAGAGTTCTCTGTTTAGGTCTGTACTCCATTTTTAAAAATTGGATTATTTGTTCTTTTGATGACCAATTTCTTGAGTTCTTTGTATATTTTGGAGATCAGACCTCTGTTTGATATGGGGTTAGTGAAGATCTTTTCCCATTATGTAGGCTGTTGTTTTGTCTTGTTGACTGTGTCCATGACAACTTTAAATATGAAATCCTGCCTTCGAATTTAATGATACATGCTCTTTGTACTTTTTTTTTTTTTTTTTTGCGCCACAGCCACGTTTATTGGGAACGGGGTGGGGGGGGGAAATCAGTCCTTCTTGGCCGCCGCCTTCCTCATGGCGGCCAGCACATTGCTCAACTCCTCCCGCTTCCTCTTGGCGCGTCTGTGCATGCCCACCCGCTTCTTGATGAACTTGAGCGCGTGCTTGTCCTTGGACACCTTGAGCAGCTCCATGGCAAGCCGCTCGTAGGGCGCGAAGCCACACACCTCCCGGATCATGTCCCGCACGAACTTGGTGTGCTTTGTGAGGCGCCTGCGCCGCCGGCTGTGCCTCGGCTGGCTCACGTTCTTCGTCACCTTGTGGCCCTTGTTGAGGCCCACGGCCATGGGGTAGCGCAGGGCCATGGCTGCTCCTTTCCGATGGCGGCCGCGACAGGCTCTTTGTACCTTTTTAAAACCAGAACATTGGAAGCATGCTTTTGATCTATATTCATGTATATTTTTCTCTCCTTTCTGGGGATTACATTGGGTGGCAATGAGTAACCTGACATTATTGTAGAAGAAAATCCTGAGAAAAGCGAAACACTCCTTTTTGTTTAAAGACTCAAATTCCAGGAGATTGGTGTTTGGTGAGGATGCCCTGGCTTTAGAAACCAGGCCTAACTGGTTTTACACAGTTCTATTTACATGTAAACATCACCACTGGGTAGGATTTTGATACAAAAGAGACTTTTGTGTTCTAGTTTTGGAAATAAACAAGGAGCTCTGGGTTCTAAGAAGAAAAGAATGAAAAATTGTCTACTTTAAGCAAGTTAGACAAGTGAGTTTACACTTAAGACTATGGAAGTTCATATAAGAAGAGATGAACATTGTCCAGTATGTACATTTTTAACCAAGTTATAAGGCAACCATAGGAAACAAAATCACCGTGAGAGCTGGTAAATATATCTGTAGAAGCGTGTGTGAGATACAGGAAACAAAAATTTAAAAACTTCAGGCGTGTGTGTGTGCATAGACATGTGTGACCTCAGTTCTTTATATTTTCTTTTCAAAGCTTGGAAGTTGTTCACCTGTGAGCTCCATACCCAGGTTTGGCTGTTGAGTTTGTACTCTGAATTAAGTCTACCATGCTACCTGCAGCCTGGTGTCGATATTTATTCTATTTCTAAGTCCTACACAAAAAGCAAAGAGTGTCCTGTACAATTATACCGTAGTATTGGTGGGACAGGGTGTATTTGATGGCCTTAAGGTTGATTCATTCTGGGATCGTATTAACTCCATCTTTAACGGTTCTTGGACTGCCTTTTACCGTTTCCTTGGATGGTGTGTGGCTGTGTAACATTCAGATCACCGACACCTGCAATCGATCGCTTATTCTATTAAACTCACCCTTGGTCTCCGTTGTAAGCACTGTTTTTATTGGGCACACTCAAAGGTAGGGATTCCCACCTCACACCCGCCTCAGTCTTCTCAATTTCTTTGTTTCTAAGGCAGCTGTCTTTCTAAGAAATCCAGTGAAGCGTCACAATTACATTGCTCATCAAGGAATTTTAAGGGTTCATTGAAAATGGAAACAGATGTCCAGGGTGAATATGATGAGAGCAAATTAGAAACACATTAGACACCGAATGCCCTCCAATAACTACTCAAATATTGCTTGGATGCTCAAAAAATATAAGCAGACTAAGGTTAAAATGTGCAATTAAAACTTTATAGCCAGATGCTATATCACAAGCACAAGATGAATGCTTCTTGAAAGGCATGTTGTTGTCGGCTCTTAGACCCTATGGTTCGGTCCTTGAATTTTTCTTTCTTTTTTCCCCTTTCATTTAAATTACAAGTCAGATTTTTATCTTCATGCTTTTTTATTTTATTTTTTTTTTAGCGTGTTGTGATTTAATTTGGTTTCTTACCGAGGGCTGTGATTTATTTTGTGTTTCTTATCTCTGTGTTTCCTTTGTTGGTAGAGTATAAATTATAATGGTAAAAGTTGTTTCTTTTTCACAAACCATCATCAATGCCTCAAAGGACAAGCCATACAAATGCAAAAAATTCTTAGGTTAAAATCCTTGAGTAATACTTTACCTGCCTTCTACCTGTTCAGGGTAAAAGTACACTTTACTACCAGTAAATTACTGGCATTTTTCAACCAAAGACTCCTTTAGTATCTAAGCGACTATTAGCCTGTTGATTTAAAATTAAAGAGAATGTCAGACATGATTTAAAGCTATACATTGGAAAGAAGAGTTGAGGAAAAATTCCAGACAGTATCTTTGGGAAAAAAGAAGTAAAGACTAAGAACTTCTGGAAATTGGCTTTGTTATTTAAAATAAGCATTTCAAGGAGACTTAAAGGTGACTGCAAGAATGCCAAATAATAAATATAACTAAGACTCATTTTCTTGTAGATTGGTTTTTAGTCCTTAGAAAGCTGTCTCATGGTTGCCGTTCATTCATTCACTCATCTCTTCACTACTAAATCACTGCTTAATAAAAACTCACCATATGTCACTCTGAGGCTGCAGACACAGCAGGGGTCAAAGTGAACAGGGCTGGTTCCCCTGGAGACTTTTAGGTTGGTGTCCGTGGGCTGAGGCAGAGATGCCAGTGGCAGGGGGGAGGGGGAAGTACAAGCAAAGGGGTGGACAGTGCCCTGATAGCAGCAAAATGGAATGACATCCATGGCTAGGAAATAGTGAAGATCACCGAGCAGCCAGAGCTGGAGGACGAGGGCCTACGGGAGAAAGGACAGATCCCGGCACAGGAGCAGTATGTGCCGTGTTGTTGAAGAGGAGGGGGACCTGCTTGAATACTCACTATGAGAATTGCCACTTCTGCTAACTTGGGCTAAGAGTATTCAATGGAATACTCACTGTTATCGTGTCTGGGTAGGGACAACTCACATAGTATCTTTCCCAGGACCCATAGAGGCATTTATCTGGTTTACAAGGAAAGACATTGAGACCTACTGGACCTGGGTATCTTACCCCGGGTGACACAGGTGTGGTCACTGGGAAGGCAACTCTGACCTATGCTCTTTCCTTGAGCTCCGCGAAGAAATCTGAATTTGAATTGTCTTAGTATTAATGGACTACAAGTTAAATGAAGGGGTGTTGTGTTTGTTTGTCTCCTGAGAAAAACTGAGCATAAATGGGGTACTCTTGAGACATACCTGGGAAGATGAACCTCCATTTATAACAGCATGCTTATGACATAGGTATATAGACTTAACGAAGGGTCTAAGAAGAGAACACACTTCTGTTTGCAAGGCATACTAGGCCAAGGCTGGAAAAGTCAATTCAAAGACATAGGATCATCTTAATGAAGCCATTCAAAGAAATAAGAGAACACTCTGAGAATGAGCTGGAGCTGGGAGATGGCTGGGGAAAGGTGACGAGGACGAAGTGTGCTGTGACCTCAGGTGGCTTTTCATCAGAGAAGGCCAGTGGGGCAGGGCTGAACTTTAAAAACATCATCTGATATGTTAGTGACCAGGCTCAGTGCATGACGCTGGTGGTTGTTGCCTGGTTACGAGGCGGGGACACCTACTGTATCAACAAAGCAGAAGAGAGCCATGGGGGTGAGGTGAGGACAGCAACTCTTGGAATCCACCTTCCAGTAAGCTTTTCCTGCCACTTAGGCAGTCAAGGACAAGGACAGAGACACTCAGCAGAGCTGACAGGAACCTGTTGCAATGAAATGGTTTATATGGTAATACCCCTCTCCCCCCACCCAGTGTATGTTAGCTGGAGATCAATCTGCTATCAGCCACCTTGCTTCTGGAAGGTGATATTGCTCAGTAAACCTCACTTGCTGCCTGAAACCCTCTGACAGGTGACAGCTGCCCACTGACGCAGCAGTGGACTTCCATGATGTCAGAGAAGCTGTCCTGTGAGATGCAGGTTCAGGGGATGGTGCCAGCGGCTCTGCAGAGCAGTAGCCAGCCCACATAGCTACAGAATGTTCTAGAATTGATTAAAGGTGATTTTTTTTAAAACTACTAATGACTGCCTTGGACATCAAGATAAGGTAGGGGGAACCTAATATTTCTGACAATATTCTTTTTTTTAAAAATTTATTTATTTATAAAAAATTTCCACCTCCTCCCCCCTCCCTTTCCCCTCCCCCTCTCCACCTCCCCCTCCCTCTCTAGTCAGGGAGACTCTAAGAGCAGTCAGGTTTCCCTGCCCTGTGGGAAGTCCAAGGTCTTCCCCCGTCCATCCAGGTCTATAAAGGTAAGCATCCAAACAAACCAGGCTCCCACAAAGTCAGTCCATGCAGTAGAATCGAAACCCAGTGCCATTGTCCCTGGCCTCTCAGTCAGCCTTCATTGCCAGCCACATTCAAAGTGTCCAGTTTGATCACATGCTCCATCACTCCCAGTCCAGCTGGCCTTGGTGAGCTCCGTCTGACAATATTCTTATTGTGCCTGTTACTGATCGGTTTTTAAGTTGACCAGCAGAACTTGAAGCCGGTGGACTATTATTTCTACTAAGCAAGAACTGCTTATGGAGTTTGAAAAATGTAAGAGGTTAAAGCCAATATCTGGAGAGATTTCAGCTTGGATGTGGATATTGCATATCTTTAGAGCAGTCTTGTTTTTATTTACTTTTTTTCGACTTCTTTTGATTATTTGAAAATAAGGAATTTAGATACTATCCCCCCAAAGATAGCACTGAAGATAAACTGAATTAGAATTGCATACACTTGCCGTGGTGATGACCCCAGTGACCTTCAGAATAAACTTTTCTTCCAAATAAACCAGTGAAAAAAAATTAAAGCCATTATTTAAATATGAGTTGAATTATAAAAACTGTTATGTAAATACAGCCCAATAAAGAGTTAAAACCTAACAGTATAATTTGATACTTTTACTGTTGTTGATACATTTGATGAATATACTGTTTGATAATAGTGTAATCTTTAATTAGGGACTGTTTAAATTCTACTCCTCTTCATATGGCCATGCACATACTATGAAATAGATGCTTTAAGAAAAGAGAAAATGAAGGCTGGCTTCCAGTTCTTTGAACCACACACAGGTATTTGGCTGCATGAAAGTGTGTGTGTGTGTGTGTGTGTGTGTGTGCTAAATTCATATGTGATGCTGATCCTGCCAGCCCCAGAGCTTCTCTGAGCCCAACTGTCCTCACACATCCCACATCAACTAGAAACAGGAAGCACTAGAGACTGGGCATTTGGTAATGAGGTAGATGTCGATGTGCTTCCAAGTTGCCACTCTGCTCAGTCCTGTACTCCCAAGTCTGCCCCCTCTGAAGCTAAACCTTCTCCCCAGCATGCACTGAATGAGTGAATTCAGAGAAGAATGAATATTGTTACCTGAAGGCCTTCCTGAACCCTGAGTAATTAATGCCTTGAGATCCTACCTTTTCCAAGTTGCACATCACATAGGTCGACCTTTTTGACCTTGTACTTAATAGTCTCTT